GTCGTCGTCGTCGTCGTCGTCACCACCACCACCACCACCACCACCACCACCATCACCATCACCATCACCATCACCACGATCACCACCTCCACCGCCGCCGTTGCTGCTACGTCGAGCATATTTCTGCGGGGGTAGGAGATGATGCAAGAGAAAGAGATAGAAACCTATATGAGCTAAACGAGGATAGAACGTCAGGATGGTAGGGAGAATGCGAGCACAGAGCGTTTGCGCGAGAGAGTAGAGCGGCAACGAGTGGGTCAGAGGGGCCAGCACGCGGAAAACATGCGCGCGAAAGAGAGGAGCGCGAGAGGACAGCCAAAGGGTCGAGCGAGAAGGATCTAATCCGTATGGAGGGGAACGGTCGGGGAACCCGTTGTTGGTGGTGCACCAGACCCCTCCGCCGATGCTGTACGTATATATACGTGGGAGTATATATACGTTTCTATACGGTATCTATATGTATACGCATGTATGAAAGGATGTGTGTACGCTTATCTGACTGTGGTTGTCTCCTACTCGCGCGCTCCCTCTCGCCTGAGGTGCGTTGGGGGAGTCCTCTGTGTACAAACGCATATTCGTATATTACGTATATATATATATTAGCGAACCCAGAAAGGGCGAGAAAGGGATGAGGAAGAGGAACCAAAAATTCGTGTTTTTTCCTCCCTTTTTTTTCTCTCTATCTTTCTGCGGAATTTCTGTCGCTTCTCATCGCTAGTAAAACCGCGGACCATCCGCTCTCGTAACCGCTCACCTCGTCGTTTCCCGCATTCTCGACCGCACCCTCTCCGCCGGTCGCTTTCCCCGGTCATCCTATCCACCTTGTCGGAGAGGGTTGCGCCGCGACCGATCGTCAGCGGAGATAGCCGAAGGTGAACGAGCACGCGAGAGTGGTGGCTGGATAGCGGGTGAGGACCCGAGGTCGTCGCGGACGCGCTCGCTCGCAGGGGTGAGTTTTGAGTTCCATGTACTGTTCGATGTTGGAGCCAAGTTTCAGGCCGGCCCTCCAAGCTGGTAAACTCCAGCTATTGTCCTTCCAGTCATTGGGCAGGTCCCCGGTTAGGGATGGGCGCTACGAATAACTAATATTGAGGTCGATAGGACGCTTCACGAGTTGCGAACTTTACTCGGAGCGCATAATGGAAATCGAACCAAGAACATCGATGGTTTCAATCGGAGGTGGCGATATAAGTCTATGGTTTGCGCATCTAGCGTAACATATTTAGTTTAATTGAAATACCTATTTTCCCCCCAACGGATATATATCGTTGTGATGTGTCTTATAGGAACCCTATACAACTCAGCAACGGTTGAAAGTCTTCAACGCGTACACCCCGCGCACCTCTTCCTTTGCCTTTCTCGCTTCCGTCTTTTCCCTCGTCCGACTTCAATTTCACCGAGTCGTCTTTTCATTCCCCCCCCCTCATCTCCCTGCCAACGCGACGCTTCTCGGCATTCGCCTCAACCTCCGTCGTCCGGATCGTGAACAGCGTATGTTTAATTCATGTCGCGCGTTATGCACGCGAGCCACGGAGCTCCCTGTTTTTCCACCGCCTTGTCCTTCGTGTTTTGATTTCCCAGCACGATGATGAAGCAGCCCGTCGTGCGTTCCTCCGACTCATCCGTCTCCTCTTTGTTTTTGCTCGCACCCTTCGAGAAGTCGACGCACGCGGTTGTGTCAACCGTTCCCATTTTCTATTGCGAGTTTGAAATTATTGTTTGCAACCCCAACAACCACCTCGTTCTCGTCGTCTGTTATACATTTTCGACAAGGTCTTCTCCGTTTCGTCACTCGTCAGAAAGCTGAGCAGGATTCGAGGCTCAGGGAATTTCAGGTGGCTAAATTTTGGTTCGAACAGTAGTTCGAACGATGTTGCGGCAATTTGGAGAACGCACGGATGTTCTTTGATGTTAGGATATTCCGCGGGTTGGTTTCCAATCGCGTGACCAAGTTGAAGCGGAAACCTTTGCGTGCCGTCAAAATTGCGAACGAACAAATATGCATATAATTACACGTTGCGCGGCGTTTGCGCTTTCTTTGTAAGCACGCCAGCGGTGAATGGTTACGCTTATTCGCCACATTATTCTTTCTGAAACACTCGTCAAAATCTCGATATATTCTTTTACGATTTTCTTGTATTATTATTTGATCAATTTTACAACCGTTTGCGTATTTGTTTTCGAAATGTCTGTAGCGAGAGAATATCTCTCACTACTAATGGACCAGAATTTTCGTGAAACTTTCGACAATTTTCCCAGCTCTAACGGCGCATGTAATGCATAAATACCGAGATAACTTTACGCATTACTGTCTATGTATATACATTTCATGGAGAAAACAGAAGGGTGGACTAACGTACATTTTGATGTCGAATAACGTGAACCACAGATAACAATTCTAACTGTATTTACAAATATATAAAATACGATATACTCATCGAGTATTAAAAGTTTCAGCATTTGAAAAAAGTATGTTTTGTAACAGTGACACTCTTTACTGGGTTACTTTCTAGGTAACAGTTAAAACAGAACAAACGAAGGGGAATTCCGGATGGAACAAAAGGTATAGAGAAACAAAAGTATAATACTATAACTGTAGCCAAAAGTGAAAATATTTGTCTTTCTCTTTTTTGTACTTTAGAAGGAAAGTGTCGTGTTAGATTCGCAAAGTTAGCACGCCATATTCTCAGTTTTGATTTTTTAGTATAAAAAATGCAGAACTTTTTTATTTTATTTTAATAAGAAACTGTAAAACTATGAAAAATACTGGGATTGTCATTATTTCTTTTTATATTAATAGAACGATGTGCTAACTTCACAATCCAAATTGACGTGAATTTGTAAAGTTAGCACCACATTCTATCAATATAAAAAAAATAGTGATTCTAGTAATACTTTTTTTTCTTTTTTAGTAGTTCTACAGTTCTTTATAAAAAATAAAAAAGAATTTGTTATCCTGAAAAACCAAAGTCGAAAAAATCAGAACTCTGTTTAAAATGATTTTAGAGCATAGAGTTTTACTAAAACTAATTACGCGATAAAAACGCGATACAACACTTTTTTTTTTCAAAGACCGTGATGTCTTGTACATATAAAGTCTATTAAAAGTGGTGTAATTGGAATTTTGTTTCCAAATTACATATATTGGTATAACTCGAGTAGTACTAACGGAAATTAGTACACAGGTCACGAAATAATTTGCAACGTGATCATGTATTATCATGCAAACAGCATCAGATCTTTTTGGTTTAATATTGCAAATGATGTAGCTTTACGAAATCTTGTTATCGAACACTCTGTATTAAAGGGTCTGATCGAAATTTCTTTAAAATGGAATCGATTTAAAAATCGGGACATTCTATAAGAAATCTCAAGTAAGCGTCATTTTTTCGATAATATAACAGGCCATTCGTGACTATTGATACTCAAATATTTGATTGAGAGATACTCGGGCTACTTTAAGACATGATTTAAATCTTAATTAACGAATTCTTGCACACTTCGGAGCGATCGACTGTGATTCCTCGGTAATACGATGGAGGGAATTAATTTTCCACCTGACTTCCCTCCTGTGCAAAATTCGACCGATAATGTACCTATATGAAAGCAACATATATGAAATTCAAGGTAACATATATGAAATTCAAACTAATTATAGAAAGTCTATAATTTAATGCAACTATTTATCGTTACTATAGCTTCCAGTTTTAAATACTATGGGAGACATGCAACAAAATGCCATTAGATTTATAAGAAACGACAATATCCTGATTCTAAACGATTGATTTTTGCTTACCAGTCATTTATCATAGACATAGTAATCCAGAAGAATCTTTCAGAGAGGTCCACCACGTTTTGCGATAGAAAGATTAAAGATTCTCCCTTCATCGTATTGGTCGATCGAACATATCTTTCCATTTTGTCGTCATAGAAACGGCGTAGAGGAGTTTTCGTCGATTCGGTTTTCTCCCAGAATAGCAACGTTATACACGATCACGCCGAGAAAGGGGACGATGTGTGTATAACGCGAAAATTACAGGAGTCTGCGATTGACGCACCATCCATATATCGTTCACGTTAATCTTGTCGAGCCAAGAGAAAGACAGAAACTTTGCTATTTTTCTCGCAAAAATCCATTTATTGAAATAGACAATGAAATTTGAGGCGGCGTGTGTTTTATTCAGAATTCATTGGGTGAAAGTCTCTCAGTTGTATTGCGTTACACCTCGTAAAATTCATTCTATTGCAGCTCGTCGCCCACCTCCTCGGAAGTCGTAATTTCGGCAGAATAAAACGGCGGACGTCGATGTGGCGTGGTCGGTCGTAAAGCGCCGCTGAAAATTGTCATAACGTCGTTCCGAATACGATCGCGGTGAACGCGCATCCTGCTCGGATTTTCTCGCGCTTGACCCATTTTTGTCAGGCTCTCGAAGAACGCGCATACGAGGCATTATTACTTCTTCGGAATTTCATTAATTCCCACCTTCGTCAGATTTCCCGACGGTTTTTAGCGCAATGCCCTACGCCTACTTCCTTTCTCCTCTCCTCCCCCGCGTTTTCATTATGATTTTTCTTAATCGAGATGAGTCTTGATCCAAAGGTAGGCAAAAGCATTCATTAACATTAACTGTGCAAAGAAATTCATCTAAAAAGAATAAGCCTATAATCTTCATTAATTCCTACCTTCGTCAGATTTCCCGACGGTTTTTAGCGCAATGCCTTACGCCTACTTCCTTTTTCCTCTCTTCCCCCGCGTTTTCATAATGATTTTTCTTAATCGAGATGAGTCTTGATCCAAAAGTAGGCAAAAGCATTCATTAACATTAACTGTGCAAGAAGTTCATCTAAAAAG